TAAGCTTGATAGTGCTATCTGCAGTGGTATTTGCAACTCTCTTGCTCATTCTGTCCTAACAGGTTGGGATAAAAACACCTTTATTAGTATAGAGGCTTGTATTACTATCACTTCCCCCAGTTCCAAAATACATCTTTTAAAAATACTCATTGATTTACAAACTGTACTCTTTGCCTCTTGTTTACCATCTGACACGTTCACCGTCTCTTAGCATGATACCTTTTGCAATCCTAAATGACAATGGGAAAAGTAGCATACAGACTGTGCAGGAATCCTATGTCAATGTAGCATGCAGGAGTGTACACCAAAATTTCTATGGAAATCCAAGTCTTCATTTTGGATTTCAAGAAAAGGAAAAGACCATATAAGGAAGTGAATCTTACAGGGCTGTTTTCAACTTTCTCAGGATATGTAGTCTACCCAACCTGCTAAATTCAGGTAATGCTGCTCTTAGGTGTGAGTTTACTTTACATTAAGAGCATTCCCCACATATTTCTCTTTGCTTCTTTTTTCATGGAACCTTTGGTGATTTTGCTCTAGCCTAAAACAGTCAAGATTTCAAATTCTGTAACAAAATTAAAAAACAAAGTACAGTAGCACTGAATACAACCTGAGAAACAGCAATATGGAACCAAAAAACCCAGGCCTTTACAATATTTTCTGAAGTTCAACCTCCTAACTAGTCAGTTTGCTAATTAAAAGTCATAATATGACAAAGAGACAAAAAAACAATACAACATTTTTTTTCAGCTGTTATTGTAGCCCTGTAAGTCAGCATTGCTATTGCTGGTAACAAGCTGTAGAACTAGCACAGGCCTTGCAAGGCCTCAGGAGTAATTTCTCAGGCTTTGTCTGAACTTTCCTTGCCTGCCTGAAGTTTTGATTTAGCTTGTTTAGCTGCAACAGTTTTTCTAATGGACAGGTGAAGTCACAGAGGATAATAATAAGCAAAAGTACTCAGAAGATAATAATAAAGCACAGCAGTAATCCTTAACATTGGATCAACACAATGACCATCCCTGAAGGAGTACTTGAATAAGTACTTCAATAGAAATATACTTCTACAGAAGAAATACTAAAAAATGCTCTCTGAAAAATGATCTTGTTTCATCATATTTAAGCCTAGAAAATTTTCAATATCAATTTGTATTTTGTTTCCTGGTCTCATTAATAAATGTTTAAATTGTGGAAATCCTCTAAAACAGCACTGGAAGAGAACAAGAATAGATACCTGACAAACTCAAAACAGAACTAAATTACAAATGCCATAAATTACAACCTGTGTAATTGAGAAATTTCATCAACAGCCAGAAAATCACAATTTGAAAGGCATGCATCAGCCTCTGGTTTTGAAGAGTCACTTTTGCTTCAGTCTCCTAAGCTGAGTTGAATTCTAGCAATATAGCACAGGCCTTCCAAATGCCTTGGTCAGTGATAAACATGTAAACACAAAAAAATAAGGTTCTCTCAAATCAAAAAGAGATAAAACAATGATCACAATATATCAAATTATACTTTTTATTCTCTGAAGTAATATGTTCTCATTACATTTTTTTATTCATAGGCAGGTTAGTAAAGAATCTTTATATACAGTC